ATACTCAATAGTATAATAATTAGTATACTCAATAATATAATAAATATAGTATAATGAATAGTATAATGAATAGTATACTGAATAGTATACTCAATAGTATGAAAAATAGTATAATAAATAATATAATGAATATATATAGTATACTCAATAGTATAATAATTAGTATACTCAATAATATAATAAATATAGTATAATGAATAGTATAATGAATAGTATACTGAATAGTATACTCAATAGTATGAAAAATAGTATAATAAATAATATAATGAATATATATAGTATACTCAATAGTATAATAATTAGTATACTCAATAATATAATAAATATAGTATAATGAATAGTATAATGAATAGTATACTGAATAGTATACTCAATAGTATGAAAAATAGTATAATAAATAATATAATGAATATATATAGTATACTCAATAGTATAATAATTAGTATACTCAATAATATAATAAATATAGTATAATGAATAGTATAATGAATAGTATACTGAATAGTATACTCAATAGTATGAAAAATAGTATAATAAATAATATAATGAATATATATAGTATACTCAATAGTATAATAATTAGTATACTCAATAATATAATAAATATAGTATAATGAATAGTATAATGAATAGTATACTGAATAGTATACTCAATAGTATGAAAAATAGTATAATAAATAATATAATGAATATATATAGTATACTCAATAGTATAATAATTAGTATACTCAATAATATAATAAATATAGTATAATGAATAGTATAATGAATAGTATACTGAATAGTATACTCAATAGTATGAAAAATAGTATAATAAATAATATAATGAATATATATAGTATACTCAATAGTATAATAATTAGTATACTCAATAATATAATAAATATAGTATAATGAATAGTATAATGAATAGTATACTGAATAGTATACTCAATAGTATGAAAAATAGTATAATAAATAATATAATGAATATATATAGTATACTCAATAGTATAATAATTAGTATACTCAATAATATAATAAATATAGTATAATGAATAGTATAATGAATAGTATACTGAATAGTATACTCAATAGTATGAAAAATAGTATAATAAATAATATAATGAATATATATAGTATACTCAATAGTATAATAATTAGTATACTCAATAATATAATAAATATAGTATAATGAATAGTATAATGAATAGTATACTGAATAGTATACTCAATAGTATGAAAAATAGTATAATAAATAATATAATGAATATATATAGTATACTCAATAGTATAATAATTAGTATACTCAATAATATAATAAATATAGTATAATGAATAGTATAATGAATAGTATACTGAATAGTATACTCAATAGTATGAAAAATAGTATAATAAATAATATAATGAATATATATAGTATACTCAATAGTATAATAATTAGTATACTCAATAATATAATAAATATAGTATAATGAATAGTATAATGAATAGTATACTGAATAGTATACTCAATAGTATGAAAAATAGTATAATAAATAATATAATGAATATATATAGTATACTCAATAGTATAATAATTAGTATACTCAATAATATAATAAATATAGTATAATGAATAGTATAATGAATAGTATACTGAATAGTATACTCAATAGTATGAAAAATAGTATAATAAATAATATAATGAATATATATAGTATACTCAATAGTATAATAATTAGTATACTCAATAATATAATAAATATAGTATAATGAATAGTATAATGAATAGTATACTGAATAGTATACTCAATAGTATGAAAAATAGTATAATAAATAATATAATGAATATATATAGTATACTCAATAGTATAATAATTAGTATACTCAATAATATAATAAATATAGTATAATGAATAGTATAATGAATAGTATACTGAATAGTATACTCAATAGTATGAAAAATAGTATAATAAATAATATAATGAATATATATAGTATACTCAATAGTATAATAATTAGTATACTCAATAATATAATAAATATAGTATAATGAATAGTATAATGAATAGTATACTGAATAGTATACTCAATAGTATGAAAAATAGTATAATAAATAATATAATGAATATATATAGTATACTCAATAGTATAATAATTAGTATACTCAATAATATAATAAATATAGTATAATGAATAGTATAATGAATAGTATACTGAATAGTATACTCAATAGTATGAAAAATAGTATAATAAATAATATAATGAATATATATAGTATACTCAATAGTATAATAATTAGTATACTCAATAATATAATAAATATAGTATAATGAATAGTATAATGAATAGTATACTGAATAGTATACTCAATAGTATGAAAAATAGTATAATAAATAATATAATGAATATATATAGTATACTCAATAGTATAATAAATAGAATAATGAATATATATAATATTGCTGAGTCTCGATGGTAGACAAAAATTTATTATATTATATATATTTATTATGATATTTATTATACTATATTTATTGTAAATAAAAAATATATTATATTTATTATACTATATTTATTGTAAATATAGTATAATAAATATCATAATAAATATATATAGTATAATAAATTTTTGTCTACCATCGAGACTCAGCAATTTAAATCGATCTGGGCATACAATAAATATAAATCATCCCCTTCGCCCAACCATTTAATATTATCACTTATCATTAAAAAAAAAATAACGATGGCGCAAGGGATGAGTAAAATCGCTTCGAATCCGCGGAAATTGTTCGGACATCGGGATTTATTTTCCACGCGCGGAAACGATTCACAAAACGCCATCCGACGATCGCATTATCGCGCGGAATCGAACATTCCAATATCGCCGAACACGAAAATACAATCTCGGAAACAGAGTCCCCGAGGTGGCGCCTGTTCGTCGGAGGAATCGCAACACCTCGAACCCCGAAGCTCATGAACCGCTACGGATCGCACTAGCGGACGATTTTTCATGGAACACAGAGATACACGCGTTCAGCTCCGGCTATGATATCGCGGCGAATTTATTCGGTTACGCGCGACGAATTCGAACGAAGTCGCTTCATCCGGGGTCTTCCACGATGCGCCAGTTTGTCTACAAATTGTGCCCGAGAAAAATGTGCATGAATCTGCTTATTTTATTCTATCTTGTGATCGCCGTAAAGTGTTCAAACATGCGTTCGAATAGGACAAAATTTCTCGTAGTATTTCAGGGGATTCGACACGTTCCGATGCAGTCTGTGAGAAAGTTTTAAATGAACTTCTTCTATACATTAGAACCATTCGCGTTTCCGACCGCGTCCAGCCTGGAATAGTCGAGCGCGTGCCCCGGGCCCGTTTCACCAGCGACGGAAACAACGCAGTAATTCGTAGGACTTTTACATTCATGGCGACGTTGAACGTTACACGCTCGTTCGGAGACAACGATGCTCAACGTCGGAACTGTTTCGCGTGCAATCTTCAGCGGTGTTTTCGCTGGAAATTCAACGGACTCCCGAAACTGTCGAGGGGACGCAAGATCCTAATGATATTATTGGCCGAACCAGCTGTCCAATCTCGGTGAGCCTAATGCAATTTTTTTGTCCACACCTGCGCCCCTTATCGTTGAATTCTTTCTTTCGGCTCGATTCTTCGACCACGTCTCTCGGACGTGAGAATTGTTTCCGGCCCGATTTTTTTACCACGTCTCTCGGACGTGAGAATTGTTTGTGGCTCGATTTTTGTATCACGTCTCTTAGACGTGAGAATTGTTTCTGGTCCGATCTTTTGGCCACGTCTCTCAGACGTGATAATCAATTCTGGCCCGATTTTTTAATCGCGTCTCTCAGTCGTGAGAATTGATTTCGGCCCAACTTTTGTAACACGTCTCTCAGACGTGAGAATTGTTTCCGGCCCGATTTTTTGACCACGTCTCTCAGACGTAGTAAATCACTTCTGACCCGATTTTTTGACCACATCTCTCAGACGTGATAATCACCTCTGGCCCGATCATCCGACCACGTCTCTCAGACGTGTTTGTAGGGCGAAGGGTTAGAATTGTCAATCCCGGATCGATTTGTTCGGCGATTTATTAAGCGTTTGCCGCGGTGATCCGCGAAATTTTTTTTTCAGACGCATCCGTGAACTCCGGTATCACGGAGTTGTGTACAATTAACATCACGGAGTGTCGTAAGCGTCGATGTTCACGAAAGAAAGAATGCAAAACACGACGGAAATGAAACGTGAGTTTATTTAATCGAGGTTGCCCGTGACCAACGAAACACCGTCTCGGCTTCGCGATTGCCTCTCTGATATCTTCCGGCTGCTAATCCGAACCAGCGAATTAAAATTCTCGTGGAACGGAAAAACGTAACGAACTCCCAGAAAATAGCTGAATCGCTTTGCATCGAGACGACACAGTGCATCGAATTCATGTCAATAATGTAGCAAACGATTTTATACAGCAATCGAACCGATGCAGTGGATCGAATTTACGTCGAAATCGTCGTTATACACGGTGTTCCAAAACTGCCTCGCAATCCGGAAATGGGGGATTCCTGAGGTCATTTGAAGCAACTTTTTCCTTAGCGAAAATGTTCTACGAGGCTTCGTTTACGAAATATCAGCAAAATACGCGGACCAATTAGAGTGCGAGGGTGGAATGAAGATTTGTGGGGGCGTGGCGCCGTATGTTTTTCGTCGATAACTCGTAAACGACGCCTCGTAGAACATTTTTGCAAAGGAAAAAGTTGCTTCGAATGACCTCAGGAATCCGTTGGTCGACGCCAAGGTCAATAAAGTGTCCAAATGTCAAAGTCAACGAAGTGTCCAAGTGTCAAAAGGTCAACAAATTGTCCGAATGTCAAGGTTACCAATTATCAGGAGGAGTGAAAAAAGGAGTCAAAGAACCTTGTCAATGATCGAATTGCCACCGAAAATAATTGAAACCCTTTCAGTGTCAAGAGCTTTCCCCGGAGGCCAGCTGCACGAAATAAAGCGCGCGAATAAAGCCGACTCACCGATCGGTCCGGCGTCCACTTGAAGATCGATCATGCAGTCCAAGGACGACGTTGCCCGGCAGTCGGATGCTTCCGCGCGAACGATCTTAATTTCCCGTGTCTCTCTGCCCGGATCAGCGCGAGCCGAGCATCGTTTGGTCGCACAGAAAGGGCTTTCAATCAGAGTCAGAATTCCGGTTGCGTAGATGCGACGATCGACCAGGACTGCGCCGTCATTTTCAGCAGCGTTGCGCCTATTAGCTCGCGGGACACCTGGTCCACAGGACCGTTACGGTAATGGAGTCGATTAACCATCGGGCAGGGAACGTAACATCGTGGCGGTCGTGGAAGCGCCAAGCGGCTCGTAAAAATCAGCTCCGAGACGATCTGATCGAAACGTTCTGGTCTTGTAAGTAGCTTTCGAGAACGATCCAGGGATCTTGAAATTGGCTGACTCGATGGTTGGAAAGCGGTATTTTTAGTTTTGAGACCTGCTGTCGGAGAGGTTCGATGATTCGGCTCGGTTGATTAGAGAGTTAGCTACTCGGCGAGGGTGATAGTTGTAGAGATAGGTAGTTGGTGAGATAATAACTTGGCAAGTTAGCTGCTTTGGAAGCTGGCTACGTGGGAAGGTAGCTGGATGGTAAGGTAGCTAAGTGGCGAGACTGCTAGGTGGCAAGACGGATAGATAGCAAGACAGCCAGGTAGCAAGGCTGCTAGAGAGCAAAATAGCCAGGTAACAAGACAGCAAGGTGACAAGATAGCTGGGAGTTAAGATAGCTAGGTAGCAAGACACTAGGTAGCAAGACAACTAGACAGCAAGACAGTTAAGTAGCAAAATAGCTAGGTGGCAAGATAGCTAGATACTAAGACAGCTAGGTGGCAAGACAGCCGGTTAGCAAGACAGCCAGGTAACAAGATAGCTAGGTGGCAAGATAGCTAGGTACTAAGACAGCCAGGTAGCAAGATAGCTAGGTACTAAGGCAGCTAAGTAGAAAGATAGCCAGGTAGCAAGACAGCTAGATAACAAGGCAGTAAGGTAGCAAGACAGTTAGACAGCAAGACAGTCAGGTTTCAAGACAGCTAGACAGCAAGATAGCCAGGTATCAAGACAACCAGGTGGCAAGATAGCTAGGCACTAAGACAGCTAAATACGAAGCTACCAACTCTACAAGTCAGCTACCTAGGAAGTTAGTTGTTTTGTAAATTAACTACTCGTTAAGCTAGTTACTTTACAAGTCAGCTACTTAGTAGGTAAACTGTTCAGCAACTTAGCTACCCAGGAAGTAAGCTGTTTACCTAGCAAGCCAGTTATCTACTTAGCAAGTTGGCTACCTAGCAATGTAGCTACTTAGCAAGTTAATTAGTTTGCAAGTAAGCTACTCAGCTACGCAGCTACTCAGCAAAATAACTACCTGGCAAGTTAGCTACCTAATAAGTTAGCTATTCAACAATTTAGTTGGGTAGTAAGTTAACTACTTAATAAGTCAGCTACTTAATAAGTTAGCTACATAGCAAATTAGTTACTTTGTAAGTTATTTACTTAGCAAGTTAGAAACCTATCAAAATAACAACTTATCAAATTAGCTACCTAACAAATTAACTACCTAGAAAGTTAGTTATCTAGTAGGTTAGCTACCTGATAGTTAGCTGTCCTAGTAAATTAGCTACTTGGAAAATTAGCTACCTATCAAGTTAGCTACATATTAAGATAGCAACCTATCAAGATAGCAATCTATCAAGTTAGAAACTTATGAAGTTAGCTACCTAATGAGTTAGCTATCTAGTAAGTTAGCTACTTGATAAGTTAGCTACTTAGCAAGTTAGCTACCTATCAAGTTAGTAACTTATCAAGTTCGAAACCTATCAAGTTAGCAATCTATCAAGCTAGTAACCTACCAAGTTAGCAACTTATCAACTTAGCTACTTAGCAAGTTAGCTACCTATCAAGTTAGTAACTTATCAAGTTCGAAACCTATCAAGTTAGCAATCTATCAAGCTAGTAACCTACCAAGTTAGCAACTTATCAACTTAGCTACTTAGCAAGTTAGCTACCTATCAAGTTAGTAACTTATCAAGTTCGAAACCTATCAAGTTAGCAATCTATCAAGCTAGTAACCTACCAAGTTAGCAACTTATCAACTTAGCTACTTAGCAAGTTAGCTACCTATCAAGTTAGTAACTTATCAAGTTCGAAACCTATCAAGTTAGCAACTGGACAAATTAGAAACCGATTGAATTAGCAATTTATCAAGTTAGCAACCTATAAAGTTAGCAACTTATCAAGTTAGCTACCTAGTTAGTTATCCATCTAGTAGGTTAGCTACCTATCAAGTAAGCAACCTATCAAGTTAGCAACCTAGTAAGTTAGCTATCTAGTAGGTCAACTACCTAAGCTATCCTAGTATGTTAGCTACTTAGCAATTTAGTTACCTATCAAGTTAGCAACTCATTAAGTTAGCAATCTATCAAGTTAGCTACCTAATAAGTTTGCAATCTATCAAGTTATCTGCCTAATAAGTTAGCTTTCTAGTAAGTTAGCCATCTATCAAGCTACCTAGTAAATTAGCTACCTAGTAAGTTAGCTACCTAATAAGTTATCTATCTAGTAAGTCAGCTGTCTAGAAAATTAGCTACTTAGCAAGTTAGCTATCTATCAAGTTAGCTACCTATTAAGTTATCTACCTATCAAGTTAGCAACCCATCAATTCATCAACCTATCAAGCTACCAACCTATCAAGCCATCTACTCAGCCAAACAGCCACACAACGAGTCAGCTGCCAAGGCGTTCAGCAACGGCGGTCCGAATGTCCGGAGAACGCCGCGTCCGCGATTAGACTTTCAAGTCCTCGATTAGGGTCACGTGTCGCGCCGATTAATGCCGCACAAACCGCGCACAACCATTCGCTGCCACGGCCGGTCCCGTTGTCAACAATCGCTGCTAGGCCAGTTGCGGCCGACACGTATGGACGTCGACAGCGATCCGATCAAAGGACTGCCGCGCCTGGGGAACACTTTTCTTCCTCGCGTCACTCACTTCTTTATCGCTCCGACATCTCGTTCACAATACCACATCCGATCGGATCACTGCGGTTGCTGGAAGCGGTATCGCGCGAATCGCCTTCTTTGCTCTCGCATCGCTAGCTTTTCCTTCGCCTTTCGACTACTACGTTGCGATTAGGGATGCTGCGCGGAGGATCCTCGACGGCGTACGGGCCCGGGGATTTCCGGTTCACTCGAGGATCGACGGATCCAGGCGCCGCGATCGGCCGGCGTGTCGCGCAGATCCGCGCTTTCCGAGCACTCGCGACGAAATGTCGTTGGTTCGTCAGGACCCGCGCGGTGGGGCGCGCAGTCTTCCGCGGGCTTTTCCTCGTGGAAGGAGATCATCGTCGAACCTGCGCTCTCCGTGACCCTGCCAGCTGTTCCGGCGCCGATCCGCGCGCCTCGATTCTCACCCCGCGCCGGTTTCCATCTACGCGCGCGGCTTTGCTCGTTTCCGGAAATTTACGTTTGAATAATGACCGGGCCTCGTTCGCCCGCCGATAGAGCAGCCTTCCTCTCAACCCCCGCTCTCGTTCCCACTTTCTATTCGGTCCTATTTTTCGACTATTGTGCGCCGCGAGGCATTCACGACGCGACTCGACGACCGGCGAAACTGCTTCGAGAATTCGGGGATTTATGGGACCGTTTATGGCTGCGGTTTTATTGGAGGTGCGGCGATCGATGCGCGGAGACGTCGATGGTGTTGCTCGGCTTCTTGAATTCTAACGAAGATATCGGGTTTTATTTAAATTAATATTTAATTTAATTTAAATTAGTGTGAGGGGAGTAGTTTTCTTTTTTTTTTAGAGGGAGTCGTTTTTTATTCTTCAAGTTGGTACGGATTCGAATGTCTGTGGAAATGGTGGATGTTTTATTGGGGGGCGGGAGGCAGTTTGGTTAGGAAGGATTTGAAGATCGAAGCTTCGGCTTTGAAATGATTCATGGTTCGTTGGTTTTCGGTTTTTTTGGACAGAGTTATGAGAGTTTGAGTAGCGACGGGCTTTCGAGATTTGGGATTATTCGTGGAATGTTGACAAAATATATTTGCGTGGCGATATTGTGGATATATTATTAATAAAACATTGTGAATATGTTAGGAATGCAATATTGTGGATATATATATATTTTGAAAATGCAAAATTGGGAGCATATTATTAAGGAAATATTATGTATTATGAATATTAAAAATGCAAAATTGTGGATATATATTGAAAATATAAAATTGTGAAGATATTATTACTGTAACATTGTAAATATATTATTAATGCAACCTTGTGAATATATTATTAATGCAACACTGTGAATACATTATTACTTCAACATCATGCATTTAATATTAATGCAACATTGTAAACATATATTATTAATGCAACATTGTGAATATATTATTAGTGCAACATTGTGAATATATTATTAATGCAACGTGATAGATATGTTATTAATACAATCTTTTGAATATATTATTAATGCAACATCATGAATATAATATTAATGCAACCTTCTGAATATATTATTAAAGCAACACCATGAATATAATATTAATACAACATTGTGAATATATTATTAATGCAATCTTGTGAATACATTATTAACGCAATATTGTGAATATATTATTAATGCAACATTATGAATACGCTATTACTGCAACATTGCGAATATATTATTAATGCAACCTTCTGAATATATTATTAATGCAACATCATACATATAATATTAATGCAACATCATGAATATAATATTAATGCAATATCATGGATATATTATTAAAGCAACATTGTGAATATATAGTTAACGCAGCCGTCGCGACCGTGCATTATGATCGCAATACTGTCACCGTGCGTTCCCAAACTGCGTTTTCCCGGTACGTGCAACATTATCGAGAACGCGTCAATCTGTGCCGTGAACGTTCAATAATATCGACAATATTATATCGACAATATACATATATCGACCGTCTGAGCCTGAACGCTACTTAAGAGAAGGTGTAACGGGACCGACGGGGGGTGGACACGCGTCATGTCGGTCCTCTGACCATGCATAATTACTTTATCCTTTGTAGCCTCATCTGCAAAGTGGAGTAAGTATTTTCACAAAGCAGCTATCGTGCGCTTTTAAGAATGATATTAATGAACGTCCAGACAGAGAGACAGCGAGAGAAACGTGGAAATACGTGAAAAAAGTTGGCATAAATCTAGGTAATGGGTCGTATATAAATCAGACGTGTTACGTAATTTCCACTGTTACTGGAATTGCACGGTGGAAGAAAAAACGGCCAACAATTTTCGCGAGGGAGGGGTACAGTTTGTTTAAATGACGATACATTTGCTCGAATAACTGCGCGCGTAAATCTGTGGAAAACAATTGCTACGAGATTCTGCCGCAGGGTTTTTTTGCTCGCGGTGTTGACATATTTGTTGAAATTTTCGATCGTAAGCCTGCGAATGATTTCAATAGGCAGCTGCGCTAAATGAGATAAGTGGTTGTTTATTGTATCGGTTTTAAAGCATTGCCACGCTTTCGATATTTTCGAGAGCTGTTTCATTTTAACAGGCGCATGATTTTTCACAGAGTTATATCATTGTTTTGTTCCGTTCGGGACGCAAATCTTTTGTATTTCGTGAGAAGGGAAATTGTTTAGAATGCTCAAGATGTAACAATATTGGTTTGCATATCTTAACCGACTCTTTCAGTTATATGATAATAAAGTATTGTGTATTACTATACATATTTGTG